CTTTGGGGTCTCAGCCCGGATAGGCTCCGGGGTGGTCCGGGGCAGCGCCGAGGTAAGGTTCCACGAGGGTTCCGGAAGTTCCACGAGGGATCCACGAGGTTCTGCGAGGGCTGCGGGGTGGTGCGAGCACTAAACAGAGCACCGCATGCTGTTGGGGATATCACCTGGGCTTATTTTTGGAATTTATGACATTCGTGCTACGAAAAAAAAACACGCGGTGGAAGGTAGGGGACAGTCCCCTTGCCAGAACGAGCAATGCTCCCGCCTTGGCAAGGCCCGTGAGGTCGGCTTGAGAGATGAGTTTCCTGCAGAAACTGTCAGACGCCCCAAAGATTTCGATGCTTGATGAAGGCCTATCACAATTTGAGTTTGCTGAAGCCAAACCTCCAAAGCACGTTGGGTGGCACATGCTCCAGCCCTGTCTCTAACTGCGTCGGGGGGAAAAGGTAAGTGCTTTTTGACCTTGTAAACTTTAATTCTTGACACTTTACCCTCAAAACAAGCAAATGTTTTGCTTATTCCGATCTTAGCAAGCTTTCCTGCACCTTGCTGGGCTTTCCGTTGGGAGGGGTGAACCGCCTCAGTGCTTCACTGGTTCACTCCGCGTTCCAACGCTAGCACGACTCAGGTTCAGTCAAAGTAGCCAGTTTGCTCTAAGGTCCGTACGACCCACGCCCTGACCTGTGTTAAACCGGGTAAGGTGTGTTGTTGGCAAGCTCAGCCAGAAGTTGGCAAGGCCATGGCAAAGGAAGGAGGGAGCTATGCCATGCTTTGCGTGTCAAAAGGTCCCGACGTTGGGGAACTCACCAGACTTCAAGCACAACAGTGGCTGCCCAACTCTTTCGACTAGTCGCATACAACGTTTTGCCTTTCAGCTCTTTTCTTCTGCATACGAGCAGCACCTCAAGCATCAACTCGAGGGTTTCCCTACAGGAGTCCAAATCGTGGCAGTTGTCTTGCGACCTGCGTTTAGAGAGCAGTCCTTGTATTTCTTGTTTTGGGTGATTCAAACATCACCGTTTGAGTCATGTTCGAAGCATTTTTAGTGGGGGGTTGACCGGGAGACACAAGGAACAAACACCTTTCGCCGGAAAGCCCAGGCGACGCACGTCTGGATTTGGCCACGCCGGCCGAGTTTGCTAAGCGGAAGTTGAGCGTCTGAGATTGGACGGCCCCCCGAAGTGGATGAATCCAACGCGGGATCGGTTTCCCACTCTGAGGTGGCTTCGGGGCTGTAGGACATGCAGACCCGTTGAGTTTCAGCCATAGGCCGTGTGAGATTCCTGCTCAGTTTTGTGTGCCAATGTCATTCACGTGTGTTTGAATCCAAGTGCGGAAGGTTTCCCCGCAAAAAGGGTACCCTTACTAAAGGCACACCCATGTGTTGCTGCCGTTGCCGGAGATATTTGCGATATGCTTCAGGTCTCCCTGCACTTGACTGTTTGGGCTGTTTGCGCCTTCATTGCCTTGCCATTTACAAGCTAGAAGCTGGTCGGTATTCATTTGATCCAAGGGTGAGGAATGTTGTGCATCGCATCGAGCCTGAGAGCCCATCCAGGCTTGGAGGACCTATTGCCCGCCGCTTGAAACGCGAACCGAAAGGAGACGCCCCCAATTTTCGGACAGATCCAGGCTTCCTGGATCTGACAGATTCTTTGTAGAGTATCTAGGCACCTCCTGAACATTTGCTTGGAGACCGGGAGCCGCGTAGTAGACAATTGTCTGAAATGGCGAGGCGCTGAAGCATCCATGTTCTCCCCCATGTTGTTTCGTTCTGTTTTCTCGGCAAGCCGTTTGCCCGGAGCATGGAAAAACACGTTGGCGGGCTGTCACATTTGGATTGCCAGGGATCCTGTGGACAACAACAGCTTCATCCACCCCGGGGAGAACCCCAACAACGATGAGGCACGCGGAGACCAGAGGGTCCTCTTTGGGTGAGGCAGTTCCATCAAAATCGCCCAAAGAGGAAGCCGGGATTGGGGACCTGTATCGACTTATTGCTTTCTTCTTGGTCGACTTATTGCTTTCTTGTTTCCTGCTGGTCTCCTTCCGCTGGTGGTGTGTGCGTTCTTTGCATGCTTCGCGTTTGTATGAAATGGCGGGATACTCAGGAAGTGGTTAGAAACCAGGATGGTTGTGACCCACTTGCCATGGTTGATACAATTACAACCAGGTCTACTAATCACTTGCTACGCAACCTGCCTTGGTCTCACCATGGCCGTAATTACCTGGTTTCCCTTGGGCCTTGGGGTCTTTGGTGGGAGGGTGGTGACCCTGCGTTTGGATTGGGATGCAAATTCCCTTCTTGCAAGCTGGAAATGTCAGGAACATGATGGCGAATCTCTGGTTCTCGCAGATACAATGGGAAGCTCCAGGAACACCTTCCATTTCACCCACTCAAACCACCAATCGAATTCAAGCCACCAATCCAAGCCACCACTAATCCAACCAGAAATCCCTATACAATCAAAACCCATCCGGGCACCCTGAGGTCAAAGCACTTCGTACCCGTCACCTCGGGCGCTGTTTTTGGATCGGAGCAATGGATTGATCCAGGCGTTGGCCAAGCAGCGCTTTGTGGAGAAGGTCTGTGGGCCGGGAAGACCCAGACGTTGCTTATTCGAGCAGCCGACCAACGCGCCAACCAACCCCAGCCAGCCAGGCAACCAGCCAACCAGGCAACCAGGCAACCAACTAGCGTGTTCTTGAAAGATGGTCAAGGGTACCAGAGGTTTGGCTTTGCAACCCTTGATCACTTTATTGTTCGGCCGGGGGGACTGAGAATACAGTGACAAAACCTCCTTTACGCCTTTGCGCGAGGAATTGTCTATGCTAAAAGACGAGGGGTCCAACTTGACTTTCAACTAGGCAAGGTGCACGAACAGTTGCAAAGCGCAGAACAGACTTGCGGCTAGATTTAATATACGGGGAGGCGAACACTGTGCTGAGGTTACCATGCGTGGAAACCGCCAAAGACAAACGCCAAATTTAACCCTTGCAGATAGAAGGCTTCATTAAATGAGTTGGCTTTGCCAACAGCCCTGAGTTATGGCCAGGGACACTTTTTTAGTGTGTCTATGTTGGACACCTCCTTTTCTTCTTTTTTCGCCCTAAGTTGCACTTAGCCAACGAACCACAGCAAGCCTTGCGCCTCCCAAGCAGGCCATATCAGGTTGTGAGTGGCGAGAATACGATGCGCATGTGTGTATGTATGTATATATATATATACACATCTCGTTGTTTGCATGGGGTCTTGGCATTTGAGAAAGCATTCCGGTCTGTTTGGATGCAGGTGTTGTGATGCATGCTCACCCCGGGCCCCCAAGGATGGGCTACTTTTCTCCAGGCCTCAAAGAAGGATGCATACTGGCCATGTCGAACATCTATGTATCAGCTGATCTGGAGGATCCCTTTGTAAGTCACTTTCGGATGTATGTTTTAAGGAGTTCTTGGGCTCTTTGAAGAGCCCTAGGAACAACGACGCGTTGCGAAATCAAAGGGCCATGTTGGGGGACGAGATTCGCAGCCATGCTGGGAGGAAAAAGTGCCCCTTTTGGTGGGTGTCAGCAACAAGCTGCCAAGGGGACTTTGTTTTGGGTGCTCTAAAGACCAGCCACATTTCAGTGCAGCAAACAGGGCTGCCATGTGTTCTTCCTGGCCCGAGTCATATGGAGCCTGGAGAGACCCGTCTTGTCCGAAGCGAAGTGTGGTTCGAGGCCGCGCATCGCCAGACTCTCCAAGGCTGGTAAGCCCATGGTAGGTTCATGTGCTGATTTTTTCCCCAGTCGTTTGGTTTACCCACATGGAATCCGGCAGAGGGTCCCCTTTTTTAAGTTTTTTTTTTTTTTCCCCAGGACCCCTCAGTCAGGTGCCGTGTTGGCGGATAGGAGGGTATCCTTTTCATTCCCGGTTAGTTTGATTTCCGCAAAACATAGGAACCCTGGTGAGTCCCAAGGGCACTTTGACGGGCTGGCCCACCTACCGGTCAGAGAGAAATGGGACGTTTGCCTGGGACCCAAGTCAGAGTAGCTGATTTTTGTTTAGGGCTCTCTCAAAATGTGCTGCGCAGGGCCCCCGACCATCATAGGTGTCCCTTTTAGTTTGGTCAGAAACAGATGCGTTCCGCTGATAAAGATTGGTTTGATGCCCCATTTACCAGAGAAACCCATCATGTTTTTCCCGAAAAGGGACACATGTGCCATGGCTTCATTTTAGCTTCCCAAACCACAAGGTGCCCCAAGGGTGGAGTCAACCCACCCCTTCCGGGCGCGAATTGACACAGGGTCGTTTTCATGGTCCTTTCAGCTCGACCCATTGATTCACTCAGGCTCGAGGACTCTCCTTTGAGGTCATTCTTTGGGGATTTTTCTCATCTTCAGAGGCAGTGGCTCCAAATTAAAGAGCCAGGGTTACGCAGGTTTTGGTCCATGTTTCCACTTACCAGGGTTCCATTTTGGTACCGGGTGTTGGAGCCATACCCAGCTGTGTATCCCACTTGCTTCAGACACTTTCTCACGCGGGTTGTCACTGGGGAGGCGGACGAAATTTAGCCCCTTTAGCCTGTCACAGAAATCCATTGGGGGGATTTCAACTCAGCCAAACAAACCAGACAACGCATGACACCGTGTATTTTCTGCACCCGCCACACAACAGCCCCTTCCCAAGAATCAGTTCCCTCACAGCAACACCAAGAAAGACGTGCAACGCCCCCAGAACACGCCTCACTTTAACAACTAAAGCAACATCTCAAAAGCACCCCGCCCGACCAAAACTCGCTCCCCACATCCCCAGAGCCCCCCACAACCAGCCCGTCTTGGGGAGTACGGGGATCGACAGTCGAAGGCGAAGCTGCTGGACCGGAAAGGCACCACCTCCATGGTGGCGCGGGAGGATGGCAGCAACCACGAGGTGCGGTCACTCGCGCCCTGGTCCTTGAGAACCCCCCCAAAAAACAAAAACAGGCAGAGTGTCGGAAAAGCTCTCAGGGTTTCTAAGAACCTGGGAAGTCTTGAGAACTTCAAATCTTGGGTGACGAAACAACCTGATGCGGTGTGTTCGTCACACTGCATCTGTTGGTGGGCATCTTCAATGGCAGGGAAAGTTAACAGTGCTAAATGCATAGTATTCCAGCAGTGTCTAGGAGATTGACCCCGCGTGGCAATGGTTTTCGTCTCTTCAAACAAAAACCCACGCAAGAGCGGCGGTCCTCAAGTTAGACAGTACCAAGTACCTCTAAAAGGCCCATACGTTTCTGCACCCAGCCACAGATGGTCTCCGATCGGTGCCAATCAGTGGGGCGCAGCACCCATGGAACCCGCCAGGTCTGAGGGTTTTCCGGCCAGTCAGGTTCCATAGGAGGCCTAGCAACAGTCCTGAAACAAGCCCAAAAAGGGCGTTCCACCAAAGAGACGTCTGCGAATGTCGTGTCTTTGAGGTTTCGCGGATAGTGGAAGCCTGGTTAACTGGCAGGTTTGGGTGTTGTAGCCATCGGCAACTCGGTCTTTAACGCCTGGTTGTTGTAGTCAGGGTTCCGGCCTGTTGCATGTCATCTGGGTGAATCAGAAGTTGACATTGCAACAAGATGAGCTATCTAGGTAGGAGTCGAACTTTTAGATGCACAGGAAGTCCAAGCAAGCAGGACAAAAAGAAGGCTGAAGGTCAACATAAGTAAGAAACCTTGCTTGTCCACAGCCCACCTTCTAACCTTTTAGGTTTCCTTTTGCGGTCCATTAGTCAACGTCCCAAAACGGCTACTCTTCTGTTTCCAAGTCCTTTCTGCTAAGTTGCTCTTCCCGAGCAAAATATCACCCACATTATTTTTTTTTTGTGTGTGTGTGTGTGTGTGTGTTTTCCCCCCCCCCCCCCCCCGCGAACTCGGACCCCACATTCAAAAGATTCAAAAGTGTTTGTTCTTTTGTTTTTCCCTTGTACCCAAAAAGGGTACCAAGTCCATAAGAAGACCGGCCTTCCATTTGCTGAAAAGGACAGTTGTTTATTTTCCCTTCTTGGTTGTAAAGGGGGATTGTCTTTATGTTGTTCCATTTGAGGCGAATAAGCAAATGGAAGAGACCCACTTGGCGACTCGCGTCCAGGTGCCCATGAGCCGGGTCCTTCCCTGGATCGAAGGCCGGGCAAACGAGGGTCTGGTCTGAGCTGTTGATTCGCTCACTTTTTGAGGTTCATGGACTTAGGTCACTTTTTGGGTTTGGCTTATTTTTGCAACCGCACGAATGGAGGTTTCCAAGCGTCAGGTTTCCTTCATGAAGCCCACCTTTTCCTTTCTGCCACAATTCATGAGTTTTTCAGTTGCGAAAGCTGTCTCAAACTTTCATTTTTGCATTGCAGGCCTTCTGGTGCTGCAGGAGATCGAGGCGGGACAACGAAGTTGTGGGGGTGACTTTGAAACCTCGAGAATTGGGGGGGAGGGGGCGGTTCAAATGGTCGTTTGAATCCCTTATTGTGCGGTTTTGAAAGGGAACCCCACGGGACGCAAGCCATTTGTTGCGGTTCCAATTTTTTGAGCAGCACCCATTTGCTTTTGTTCGAATAGCTGGGGGGTTTGAACATGTTTGCGACTGGGTGAGGCCGGTTAGGCTTGTTTTCCTTTTGGCTATCCTTTAAACACACTACGCAAAAGGGTACTCACGAAGCCATATCGATTGGCCGGTTGTTGGGAAAGGGCAGCTTTGTTGGGCCTGATGGACACAGAGAGAGGCAATCCCAAAAGGAACCAAGAGGAATCGACCATGCGGGCTGACACGTGATCCGAAAGGCCACATCTTGATCAGCGATTTGAGTGGCACCTTCGGCTGTCTCCGCCGTTTCTGTGCACGCTGTTCGCATGCAAGGATTTGCACGCAGCTGTGCACAAGCCGGCATGTCCGGTTCTGAAAATAGCATGCGTAGGTCGACGATGGACCTTTCAAGCTTCAACATATTCTTAAGAGCAAGTCTTGATACTGTTTCTCAGCAGTGTCGTGTATTGGAGTGATCGTGTGGGCCGAATAGCAACAGATTCGGTATGTTTGCAAGGCCGGTTTAATGATGAGTGAAGTTGCTCGTTCTAGCGAGGACGATTCCATTTGTTGCCCTTGTTGCAGTAACCCTTGCAGGCGCGGCAGTTAGTTAAGAGAACGATTGTCATGAAGGAGGAGGGGGGATGTCTCTTCCTCCCCGCCCTCCCTCCCTCCCTTCCTCCCTTCCTCCGTGCCTGCCTGCCTGCCTGCCTGCCTGCCTGCCTGCCTGCCTGCCTGCTTGCCTTCCTTCCTTCCTTCATTCCTTCCTTCCTTCCTTTCTTTCTCCTTGCTTTCTCCTTGCATTCTCCTCTTTTTCCTCTTTTCCTGCTTCACGCCCTTGACATCTTTGGGCCCGGCACCTAGGACTCCGACTCACCGCCTGCCTGGTTCACCGATCATTTCAGAGAGATCTTGGAGAAGGAGCGAGAGCGTGTCCTTGAGAGCCGCTCTGGTCATGGGGTCAGCGCGACAACACTAAAAACCAATTACGGAACAAGGGACGTGCGGCCAAGAGCGTTGTTGCCTGAGGCATTCCCATGAAACGGGGCGGTGTTCCTTTGTACACCTGAGCACGCTCACGCCTGAGCATCACTCTGTTTGAATCATCCTTTGCTATAGGGGTTTCCCTTCAAGGAAAAGTATCCAACAAGAGTGCTCTTTTTCCCATACGACTCCAGGTCTGGGAAAGCATTCCCATCTCAGATGAAACCATCAACCAATGATTTGGGTGCCCAATGACCCTAATGTCTAGTTTCCTCTAAAAGACGCCACACGCGAATGTCGTTCGTTTCTAGATCCCTAAGCAGCTTCCAGTTGTTGACCCTTGTGCCTGTTGGGCGCCTGGCCGGACTGCATCTGCATGACTCTCGCGCAAGGAGCGCATCAAGTACGCCAAGCTGGGGCCCGGGCGCATGACATGCGAACACATGCCACAAGGCGGTGATTTATTCAGGTTGTTAAATACTGAGATGCGCACTATATATCGCACACACACAGATATATACATACGTACATAATTATCTTACATTACATCACATTACATGAGATTCTATTACATACATTGCATGGACAATCATGGACATCCATAGTCGTCCATAGACATACATAGGCACACACACACAGACATAAATGGGCATACATAGACATGTCTATATTTGTATACATATTTATATTTATATACAATTATGTATATTATACATATATATATATATCTATATGTATAATGTATGTACGTATGTACGTATGTACGTATTTACCTATCTATCTATCTATCGATCTTTCTTTATTTCTTTCTTTCTTTCTTTCTTTCTTTCTTTCCATTAGTCTATCTATCTATCTAGCTATCTATCTAATTAATCTATCTATCTATCTATCTATCAATCTATCTATGTTATCTTATCTTATCTTATGTTATCTTATCTTATCTTATCCTATCCTATCCTATCCTGTCTCTATCTATCTAAATCTATCTATCTATCTATCTATCTATCTATCTATCTATCTATCTATCTATCTATCTATCTATCTATCTATCTATCTATCTATCTATCTATCTATCTATCTATCTATCTATCTATCTATCTATCTAATCTATCTATCCAATGTATCTATCTATATCTATCTATCTAAATCTAATCTAATCCAATCTAATCTAATCTGTTCTAATCTAATCTATCTATCTATCTATCTATCTATCTATCTATCTAAATCTATCTATCTAAACCTATCTATCTAAATCTATCTAAATCTATCTATCTATCTATCTATCTATCTATCTATCTATCTATCTATCTATCTAATCTATCTATGTATCTATCTATCTGTCTATCTATTTATCTATTTATCTATCTATCTATCTATCTATCTCTCTATCTCTCTATCTATCTATCTTATCTGTCTATCTATCTTATGTTATCTTATCTTGTCTTGTCTTGTCTTGTCTTGTCTTGTCTTGTCTTATCTTATCTTATCTTTGCTTATCTTATCTATCTATCTATCTATCTAATCTATCTATCTATCTATCTAATCTATCTATCTATCTATCTATCTATCTATCTATATATCTATCTATCTATCTATCTATCTATCTATCTATCTATCTATCTATCTATCTATCTATCTATCTATCTATCTATCTATCTATCTATCTATCTATCTATCTATCTATCTATCTATCTATCTATCTATCTATCTATCTATCTATCTATCTATCTATCTATCTATCTATCTATCTATCTATCTATCTATCTATCTATCTATCTATCTATCTATCTAATCTATCTATCTAATCTATCTGTATCTAATCTAATCTATCTATCTATCTATCTATCTAATCTAATCTATCTATCTAATCTATCTATCTATCTATCTATCTATCTATCTATCTATCTATCTATCTATCTATCTATCTATCTATCTATCTATCTATCTATCTATCTATCTATCTATCTATCTATCTATCTATCTATCTATCTATCTATCTATCTATCTATCTTATCTTATCTTATCTTATCTTATCTATCTATCTATCTATCTATCTATCTATCTATCTATCTATCTATCTATCTATCTATCTATCTATCTATATATCTATCTATCTATCTATCTATCTATCTATCTATCTATCTATCTATCTATCTATCTATCTATCTATCTATCTATCTATCTATCTATCATCTATCTATCTATCTATCTATCTATCTATCTATCTATCTATCTATCTATCTATCTATCTATGTGTTTATCTATCTATCTATCTATCTTATCTTATCTTATCTTATCTTATCTTATCTTATCTTATCTTATCTTATCTTATCTTATCTTATCTTATCTTATCTATCTATCTATCTATCTATCTATCTATGTATCTATCTATCTATCTATCTATCTATCTATCTATCTATCTATCTATCTATCTATCTATCTATCTATCTATCTATCTAATCTATCTATCCATCTATCTAATCTATCTATCTATCTATCTATCTATCTATGTATCTATCTATCTATCTATCTATCTATCTATCTATCTATCTATCTATCTATCTATCTATCTATCTATCTATCTAATCTATCAAATCTATCTAATCTACCTAATCTATCGAATCTATCTTTCTATCTATCTGTCTATCTAATGTAATCTCATCTCATCTCATCTCATCTCATCTAATCTCATCTAATCTATCTAATCTATCTAATCTATCTAATCAATCTAATCAATCTAATTTGTCTTATCTATCCTTTTATCCGTCTATCCATCCATCCATCCATCCATCCATCCATCCATCCATCCATCCATCCATCCATCCATCCATCCATCCATCCATCCATCCATCCATCCATCCATCCATCCATCCATCCATCCATCCATCCATCCATCCATCCATCCATCCATCCATCCATCTGTCTATCTCTGTGTGTGTGTATGTATGTCCATGTATGTCCATGTATTTGTATGTATTCATATATGTAACTACGTACACCCGTACATTATCATATTACTCTGACATGTTTTTGTACGATGCGAGCATGGTTACCAGCCATTCCTTTTGTGTCTTTGACGCCACCCCCAGGGCCCCGAGTTGACCCATAGTTTCGCTTTAGCTTCGAGGTTTCGCACTCATGGGCCCTGGGGGTGTTTGTGGAAAGAAGAGGCAAATGACAAGTAAAGGCCTTTGGAGTTTACTTGACCATGAACCCCCAATAGAGACCAGGGATCCAAAAGGAGTTCCTTTTGGCATTGAGATATGGTTGCTTCGCACAGATGGATTGTTCAATGATACAAGGAGTTGTTGAAGTGGTCAACTTCACTTCGGAGTTTGTTTGTTCTAAGGCTCCAACACACACACACACACACATATATGCCTGCCAAAGAGAAAACTGCAGGCATTGCAGCTTTAGATCTCGGGCTCTGTTCGATTTGTTTGTGCTCTTACTCCAAAACATATTTCTGCAAGCAGAGAATGGGAGCCCTGTTGAAACTGCTATCGCGCTATTTTCACTGTTGCTATCACTGGCAGTGCTAGTGCGCTTGCTGCCGACAAGCTGCTAGTGGGGGGGGAGGGTTACTAGATTCCTTTTCCTAACTTGAGGCCTTTACCTTGGCAGGGTGTTTCATGGAATGAGTTTAGCCCAACTTGTTGTTTTCCTCCCGGCTTCCTTCTAAACATCATCCAAAACCAGGGCCGACACCCCCCCACCGCTAGACAGCGGGTGCGGATGACTCAGCACTGCAAGCCCGAAGCTTACCCCCCAAGAAAATACCTTCAATTGGGTGTGTGACCCGCCCAAAGTATCGGTGTTCCTTTTGGTTTCCTAAACCACCCAAACAGTACCACTTTTGGCTTGGATTGGGCAATATCCTTTGCACCGCCAGTTGCTTGCCTTCCGAAAGAAGGGGGAAGGCAAAGTCTCGACCGCTCATTTTTCTTTTCTGACCTCCAGTGACATTTTTAAATAAGGGCTTCCCTTTAAACTGGGGGTTGATCAAAACGTCCTTGTCATGGGATGACCATTGGTTGGAGACTCACCAAACAGATATGATACTTCAATTACAGGGGAAAAGTTACCCAACGTCAAAACTGGGGGGCCCTAATTGAATATTGATCAAACCCCATATGCCCCGTTTTTTTTTGACGGTGCGGTATATTGACCAGCCTTGAGTTGGAGGTCGATGTTTTGGCGGGAACGCAACAAAACTCATCCGACGAGCAAGCCGCCACAGGTCGGTGATCCCCGGGGCGCTCTATGTGGAGAGGAAGCTCACGCTCCAAGCTGTCACAGGTGCCTCGCGAAACCCACTTTTTGGCTTTCCCCAATTCAGAGTTCGAGCCATTTCCCTTTTCGGAACCTCCAAAAGTGGCGTTTTCAATGGACACCGCCGGTAAATTCAGCAAATTGATCAACTTTTGATTTGAGGAAATCCAGAGACCAAATTATATAGACTGGGTTTCCCGCTAATACCTTTGGGTTTTTGGTTACCAAAAGATAGAATTAAAACCCAGGTCGATGTCTCCTGGCAAACCCTGGGCTTAAGCCTTCTAAGCCAAAATACGGAGCGCGGTAAAACCCGGTGCCCTGACAGCACATTTTGTGTTTTGAGTTGGTGCCCCTTTCGAGTGGTTTCCTGTCGGGGGGCCGGAAGCTGAGACTTGTTTGTTTTGGTTTCCCTAGAGACGCACTCAAGTCAGGGTGACTTGGGGATATGTTGATGATTGCTGGAGTGGGGGTGCTTAATTGCCGGAGTGATGCTGGATCTTCGCTACACCAAGGCACAAGGCGGTGGGTCGTATGTGAAATTTGCCCACACCCCTTATGCACCACCCTGGAACGCTCATCATGAAGTGATGTAATACATGGTTTGCCAGTCTATTCATGAGTTATCGACCTCCAGGATCAATCTTGAAGTCAGCGCATTGAATTGGCAGGTGCTTAGTCGCATCGCTCTGATGATGTATGATTCAGGGAGAATGGCTCGGCCAGTTGATTCTTCGACTGTTGAGAAATCCGTGCAGCGACCGTTTTGATTGAGTACGGCCCCCTTTTAACCCTGCCTGGCATTTTCAGGCTGTTCGCTCTTTCCCGGGTCCCGGGACCGAGCCGTGGACGGGTCGCGAAGGTGCCAAGTACGACCTGGATGACCATCAGTACAACTTTCGTCGAGAGAAAGTGCCGAGAGCCCGAGGGAATCCCCATTTGGTTTCAAAGAAGGGGCTGTCTGGACATCCCCGAGGTTTTTGTGTTGAACCTAGGGGGTACAGTGCATTGAGTAAATGCTACCTAAGCCGGCCCGAGAAATTGCCTTCGGCTGCTTGACTGGAGTACAGCCAAAACGCCACTCCACTCGTTTGTCTATGTCTTCACTGTTCTACAATCAGGTGCCAGCATTGCCATATGCCATCTTTCGCCCGTTCGGACATGCTCTGTTTGCCGAAAAGAGCGGATGTGGTCAACCAAAAGGCGGCCCGCGGGCCGTTCCGTCGGCTTCCTCGCTTCCGGCAGCGACGCTTTTCCAGAAGGGAAACATGTTTTCTCCTCCGAGTTGCGGTTTTCCTTTGAGTTTTCTCTGGTTGCCTGGTGCCTAATCTGTCTAGTGCTAGCAATTGGATCACCACCCGTTGTTTCCTGTTGCGCGGAGCAACACGAAGCATTTGGAGGCTCGAGCGCCGCCGAGGAATCAGGACGAGCCGATCCCGGAGGCCACAGATGAGGAGCGACGTCGATCTCCGAGCCTCGCGAGACCACGTGGGGGACGTTTTGGATCGGGTCCCTTTGGATAGAAATTGATGGGTTCCCCCCAGACTGGTTTAGATGGGTGGTCCATTTACCAGGTTCAGGGTTCCACTGGTTCCACTGGGTCAGATGGGTGGTAACCGTTTACCAGGGAAACGGTCATCTGTTTATCCCAAACGGACGCCTTTGCTCAAGACACCTGGGGGACGTTGAGCGACAAGCCCAAGCCTTGAACTGGATCAAACGGGGGGTTGATTGGGATGGCGATGCTAAGATTGACAGGGGAGGCCATCCTTCGGCGGAGTGTTGACCCAATGGACAGCGTTCCACGCAAATTCATGTCGTGAGTGTCCTGTTAGAACAAACCCGGAGAAGGACATGATCCTTTTGAGGTGAGGGGCGTCCTTTTGTGCATGCCACTTCAGAAGACTGCTTTGCGCTCCTTTCGACAAAGGACCTTTCCGATGTCACTGTGTCCTAGATTGGAAAGGAACGGGACCCCACCTAGGCCATCTTGTTCACAACTCCTGCTGTCTGGCTGCGTATTCATGAAGCCGTTTCCAGCAGATCTTGAATCGCCATTGTAGTCATGACACGACCTGACCCAAGCTTCACTTGGCACTCAGCCTGGGCGTCAGTTGGCAAGATGAATGCAGGGGAGACAACTGCTTCGGACACACGCCCAGGCAACACAGCTGACACTTGGCAAAGACTCGATTTGACATGTGCTTGGCGTACCCGGCACGTGACATGTTTCCCGTCGCGACGAGCCGGCATCTATGTAGTGCCAGCCCAATCAATCTGAGATCTCTAAGCTCTTTCGAACTTATTTTGCATTTCCAGGTTCGCAAAAAAAAACGGCCAGGTTCGGTCAACACACTCTTGCCTGCAAAAGCTGAGGTAGCTTTGCTCGGACACAGTGAACATGTTCTCCATGTTTTGGGCTCCGGTGAGGAGTTAGCTCCTGGCTTCTGGAAGATTCACGACATCACTGGCTACATGTGCCTGGGCTGAGTTTAAGATTGGTGTCGGCACGTTGAGCAAAATACATCAGTGCTAAGTTGTCGGCATTGCATGTCAAGTACTCCTGGTGCTTCCGGGATCTTCTTGTTTTCTTGTTGAAGACTTGCAACCCAAGAAAGTCGGCGCGCCAATCATGCGGCCAATCATGCACAGAGGTTGATTTCTCCTGGGAACACCTCTTTGCAGCCAGACGGCTATCTGAGTGTGGACCGGTTTCTCACGGGCTTCCCAGCCCGTCCAGTGGCTGGTGTCCAGTGGCTGGTGTCCAGTGGCTGTGGGCCAGAGCTTTGGTGGCCGCCCAGGCCGCCTTGGGAGGCCTTCTGTCACCAGCCGGCGGGCCCAGTTGGAAGGGTTTGATTCCTACACTTGCCGCAGAAACACGGCCCCAAGAATCCTGGGAAGCTGATAGGGAAGCCCCTCGTCACTTCCATCATTGGAAAGAGGGTGAGGTGGACTCTCACTGCATTTCGGTTGGCAATTGAACGTGAGTTTCAGCGGGATCAGGATTTAGGTTCGAGGTGTTGGAGAAACTTGAGCCCTGTGGCCACTTGCCAACATAGTGTTTCTTGGTTAAGCCATAGGTCCCGATTCAAGAGTGCCTTGAAGCTTGAAAATTCGACTGCCGCCTGCCTTTCCGGGTGTGCAAGTCCGCCTGTGAAGGTTCCTTAGAACTTCATTTGGGGGTGTTTCTTTTGATGTTACCTCTTGGTTGGTTTTCAAGGGAACCAACAGGACACCAACCATCTTTCGAGGATCCTCCAAAAAGGACCCCAATTCAAGTTGGGTATTTTTGTTGTACCCCAGGATGCATGTTTCCTGGTGGACACCCTGCGTCCTAATTCACAAAGGCGGAAATGCGCAGTTTGGCTTGAAATCAACCACCTGGAAGAGACTATTTTGAGACGCACACCCATTGTGAACACACCAAGTTTGGGGGCCTACTCAAATGTCATTTGTGTCCGCTTGGGGAAACAAAATAATTTATCCAAGGCTCATATAGGCTGCTTTGTGCCCATCCCACAGAGCCATCATCCTGTAGCAATCTGATGCCGAACCATAAAACGAATCATTGAAGTTCGGATGGGAATGTGTTCCCCTCAACTGGTAAAGTTGGAGTCACAGTCGTGAGCGGTGAACGCGAGTGAGAGAAATATTGCTACTCGGTCTCTTTTCGTAGCCTCGTTCTCAGAAGCCCCTTGGAGCATCGTGGCAGATTTGCAGGGGAACTTTCCGATTCTTTCAGGGAGCCTTCTTTCCAGGAAACCACCAGAAATCCAGCAAACTGAACACTGCTGGCGGCGAAGTGAACGAAACAGCCTAGGCCATGCTAGACCAAACTCCAACGTGTCTGGCTTTTTAGCTAGTCTGTTCGAATCCAACAGTTGCCACCTGGACCGACTTGCCTCTCGAGGAAGTGCGGGCTGTACCAGGATTTTTACCAGGCCGATGTCGGCCGGCTGTTGGGAGGATTGTCGGGCTTGCTCCGTAAAGGATCGCCTGGAACCCCAGAATATATATTATTGAGAACGCCGGCATTGTTCTTTTGGGCTGTTTAGAAGGGAGCTGTTCTTTTGAGGGGTTCATGACAAATCAGCAGGGCCAGGGTCTATGAATCAAGGGCGGACACTAGCATCGTACAGTTCCTAGTCACCCCATTCGACACATGCACATGGAGCCCCCTACGTCAATCTCTGCGTGGGGCCGCGGCTCACAGTTTGCTACATGCGGCCCATTGGGACGTGTCCACATGTCCGAGTCGAAGGATTGTGTTTAGTTCGCTCTTAAAGGATGATGTTTGGGAGCCAACAGGACTATGTCCACTCCATGGACCCTAGGTGGGGACGTTCTGTTATTTTTTGTTGCTTTAACAGGATGCGACAGGACACCGACTTTTCCGATCGGTCCAACCTGTTTTGATTTTTTTCCTAGACAACATGAACAGTTTGTAAAGGAGTCAAGTTTGCGCGGCTCTACACATCTAACGGGATGAAACTGGCCGTTTTGTTTGGCTGTTGCTTTGACTGACCTCAGAAAGTTGGGTTCCGTGGTTCCATTACTTGGTTCGTTTGCTCCAAAAGACAAGTCTTGAGGTGTCCCCAAGCACCAGGGTTGGCTCGCCTTGGCCCCGAAGGCGGAGAATTGTGGCACCCCGAGCTTGGTTGTTTTGACGAAACGACTCGGTCGACTTGGTGAAGTTGGACCGGTTTCGGTTTCCTCCCAAGTGCAGTCAAAGACCCTCAGGTCCCTCCCAAGTGCCAATGAGTCGAAGTCGTGGCTTGAAGTCTCGAAGTCTTTCGCTTCAGGTGCGATGGGATAGGCCCTTCCTGGAGGCGGATTACTCCAGGGTGGAGAACGGCTGCGTTGGCGTACCAGGCGGAAGGGAAGGGACCGGGTTTGCTCCGGGCCTGTAATTGGTGGTTTGGATTTGGATTTGACCGGGTCCCTGGTTCTAGAGGGTAAATGGGACACCACCCCGGGAGACCACCAAACCACCAGCACCAGGCTCCAAACCAACTAGGGGGAAGCTGACATCCCGCTCAGGCGCGACCTGGGAGCCGGATGAGTGCCTTCCTCCACACCTGGACGTGCCTTGCTTAACTTAGACTCTGACAGTTATAGGGTCAACGGACCGTTAACGGAAGTTCCTCAGGTCCGCAAAGCTGAGCCACTCACTTCCGCAGTTCATGGACATGATTCACTTGTTGGGTTTGGACCATGTTAGTGGCAAATGAAAGGTTTGACTATTTGGCCAATCCACTCCTGAAGTGAGACCAAGGTCGAAACTTTCGGAGAAGCTCGGTACCCTTTTTGGTGTGGGTGTTTTTGAGACGCAGCCTGGGAGACTGAGTTTCGAGGTTCCGGTTCCAACCACTGGGGTATTGAGCCTGATGGATCAGCGGGTTCCCCCTTAAAACTTGCGATCGGTGCGATAGGCAGGGAATGAGGGAATGAACCTGGCGATTCCCTTAAAGGAAACCATAGGGGATGGTTTTCAGGGGTCATTCCATTTCTCATTCCCTGCCTGTCGCACCAGCAAGAAAATGGGATGGCCTTTATGAAGGGGGCTATTGGAATCCTGGATTATCCGGATTCCAATCATGGAAGAACGGTGAACGACCCCTCTTTAGGATGGTTGGAATGGGACATTAAAAGGAAGCCGACTACCGAGGAAGGCTTTCTCAATCTGAGACACATCCATGCATGAGTTTGATCTGTTGCCAAATGGGAAGCGACAAAATTGTGCCAAAATGGGAGCCATGTCACACGGGTGCGGTTTCACCTGTGACTCCTTCATTTCCATCAGCCTTGACGCTGATCAGCTTTTGAACTTGTGGTCCTTTGGCCTCGCGGCTTCGCTCACGCCAGTCACAGGCGCATCAGGCGCAGGTGCGGTGTCGAAACAGTCATGGTCAGTCCAGGGTTCAAGAGATGGGCATAGGGGTCCTTTTTACCGTTAGTGTCGTTAAACAAATCGATGGTACTGGTTTCGATGGGGTTTGTTCCATGTACCAGGGCCATCTATTCTTCCGAAAGGCCACCTCTGGACCTATGGAGATAGGGGATTCATTCAAATCCACAATGGCCGGGATCGTATTTTTGTCGACAAAAACACAGGGGGCACGAGTCTTCCTCCTACAAAAACCTGCGAAATGAGTCAAAGTCATTTCCCCATGTCCATTGGGTATCCGCGTACGGCTCCTGTGGACTGAGGCACTGCGCGTGAGGGAGAAGAAGCTTTGGGCAAAGAAAAGGAAGGAGCAGGACTCCGTGTGTCCGAACCAGGCTGCTCAAAGGCAATGCTGAATCCCTGGGTCGGTTGGGGCTTGTTTGCGGCCTTGTGTGTTTGCTTGCTTGCTTGTTGGCTGGCTGGCTGGCTTGCTGGCTTGCTTGCTGCTGAGACCGCCCTGCTCTGCAGCACTTCGACGACTGTTTCGTGCTTGTTTGTTTGCTTGCTTGTTTGGCTTGCTTGCTTGTTTTTGTTTGTTTTGGTGTTTTGGTTTGTTTGGACAGGAAGGACGGACGGTCGGAGGCAGACGGGCACAATTGTTGTGGTGCGTGGAAGATTGGGGCTGTCTTGGGGCTTGAGGGTGAGTTTTGGCTTTGCTTGGGCTTGGTCTGATACTTATACACCTCTCAGAGGGTGAGAGGCTTCCAATTGGAGCGGGCCATGGGGTGGGTACATCGGAGCCCTAGAGAAGTTCAGCGTATGGGTTTGGGGAGCCTAAGATTTCCCTGGCCCCTTGGATCCCCTGCCATAGCAACTGCATTGCGTCAAACAGATGGCCCTCCTCGCGGCAGCAACAGGGAGAAAGACAGGCAGACAGACCTTGCAGTTGATTCATGTTGGTTCCATCAGGACCGTGGAACAGACATGTATGTATACTATATTCATATGATGCTATGGTGTATACATGCATACGAACGTATGTGGTACGTACGAAGGTACGCACATACATACATACATACATGCATGCATGCATACATACATACATACATACTGCATGCATGCATGCATACAGACATACACACACACATACATACACACACACATACATACATACATGCATGCATGCATGCATGCATACATACATACATACATACATACATACATACATACATACATACAGACACACACACATACATACGTACATACATACATACATACATACATACATACATACATACATACATACATACATACATACATACATACATACATACACATACATACATACATACAGACATACATACATACATACATACATACATACATACACATACACATACACATACACATACACATACACATACACATACACATACACATACACATACACATACATACATATGCATACATACATACATACATACATACATACATACATACATACATACATACATACATACATACATACATACATACATACATACATACATACATACATACATACATACATACATACATACATACATACATACATACATACATACATACATACATACATACATACATACATACATACATACATACATACATACATACATACATACATACATACATACATACATACATACATACATACATACATACATACATACATACATACATACATACATACATACATACATACAGACATACATACATACATACATACATACATACACACACACACATACATACACACATACATACATACATACATACATACATACATACATACATACATACATACATACATACAACACGTTACGTTACGTTGCGTTGCGTTGCGTTGCGTTGCGTTGCGTTGTGCATTACATTGCAGTGCATTACATTACGTTTCATTACATTACATTACCCTACATCACACACACACACACATACGTACATACACAATGGCACACACGCATACAGATGTTGGTGTTATATATGCATATTCCACAAAAGATGCACCCAACCAAAAACACACACGAACGGGGTTCGTTCAGTCAGGGTTGTACAGTGAAGGGCCAGTTTGCGGGTGATTGCGCATTGTGGATCGACCCGGTGCGTTGCCTCTGATGCGACCTGGTCAAGCAGAGCTTTTGGATTCCTTCATAGATACAAGAAGTTTTGGCCGTGGCTCATACTAAGCCATCAACCACGACTGCAAGCTGGTCTCCAATTTGGACCCCGATGCGAGCCTTTTCACTGTGTATGCACAAGTGGAGTCGCCAATGGTTCAAACAGCATACGTGATCTCTTCGGTTTGTTTTACTTTGTTTTGCATGCCTGAAAAACATGCGGTTTGGCAATTGTGAGATTTGTTGAATACTTGTTTCTACCTTGCACGCATCACACTCCTCGCAGCTAGCGCCCGATTTCGACCGCGTCCTGACTACAGCAGATGTGAACTTCAATATCGGGCATCCCCTCCAAAGTGGCAGGGCATCAACCCCCATGGCCCACCAAAGGCTATCGATGATTCAAACCCCACCCCCCAAGTGTTTTTTTAGTTCTTCCCCTGAATTCCTGGTTGGCGAGGAGCTGCTGGAGGTCGCCAACAAGGCGATGGGCTGGTTCCTGGTGCTTTGGACCCAGGGACCAATCTTCTATTCCTGTGGAGCTTGGGGGGGGGAAGTGGGGCACAAGGGCGGGGGGGGGGGGGCAAAAGGGGCGTGGATTTGACACATCACCCTTTGGGCCATCTTTGAGGCTGGATATCTCTTGGACCTGGGAATCGCGGTGTTTCTTACCTGAGGGGGAACTCTAAACCCTGGTTCCTTGGACACGTCAGATACTCGGCACACCACACGCCTGTTCATCTCTGACGTTCCATCCCGCCCATACCAGGTCAAGGCTTGCTTCATGCTTCCTGTAGGCAGATGACGGCAGTACCTGTTTGAATCCACAAGAAGTCCCCCCCCCCCGGCAGGGCTGGTCCTGGCTTCAATTTGGAAGAAATCATGAATCAGCGCCCTCCATTTGGTCCAAAGGACACCCCACAACCCCGTTAGACGAAGAAGCATCTGCCGGGAGAAGTTTCTGAGCCACCTGTTGCTCTGAGCCAAAAAGGTAGGATGGAGGTCAAAAAGCAGGTTTTGGAGTTGGAACAGGGAGCACGTTTTCAGCTCCAGGCGGCCAAGCGCTCGCGCTCGGATGCCTCCCTGGTGGATTCCTCTAGCCCGCAGGCCAGGAGGCTCCCTTTAAAAGGAACATGGGCCAAACCAGGCCCCGAACGTCAGGTGCGTGAACTGGTGCAGAGGGGAAAAACACTCACTGGACTCCCAAATTGGCTCCCCTTCGCCGGCCCAAAATGGATGCCAACACCGGCAAAAAGTCTGATGGAGGCCTTTGCTTCTGACAAGGCAAGCATGCCCGGCGACCTGTAGACACACAAGTCTTCGGTTCGGCTTTATGTCCCATGGATTCCGTGGAGCTCAGGGTCAGGATTTCGGTTTGTGGCGAGGTTCTGAGGGTTTGCCTTCTCAGCGCTCCATGGCAAACTGGATCAACATGCGCTTATGTCGAGTTAAGGGCAACAGCAAACCTCCCTGAGAAGAAATCTTCAATGGCGATGTCTCAGTAGTTGTATTTTTGATGCAGACCCTCGCATGCCCGCTGACGACTACCACATTGAGAGGGCGAGATGTCGCTGGTTCGAGATGACTGCTTGATGAAGGATTAGCTGTACTTGATGAAGGATTAGCTGTACATGTTAGCTACTTGCTGGCTCCAAGGGCGCATTCGCAACAAAGCGGCATTGTTTCACTTGACTCACAATCAGAACCCGGGTAAGTGAAGGTTAGCAAGGGACAATCCCAGCCATAAAAAGCTACGGCCGCCTTCTTAGTTCTTTACATGGTTCTGGGTCGACCATTTTAAAACCGGGTTTTAATTTTGACTCACTTGAGTGAGCCAATGCCAACCGCTAACTCGTGGTGGCCACATGATTTCTGGACCACTATAGATTTGTACAGGTATGATCCAAGCGCTGGCCTCTTCAGTTTAGCAGCAAAAGGGTTTTCCAAGCTGCCAAACATGACTCCTGTGTTCCAGCAGATTTGATATAAATAAGTAAACATATATATATATATATATATACATACATATTTCAATCCGATTGTCGATGTGTGTGTACGTGCCAGCCCCCTTTCAAAGTATGCCAAGTCAACATGTTGTAGCTGTCAAACCTGATTTACATGTGTATCTCAGGGATTTCTGGCATTTCCGTCGCGGCCTTTGCCTTTTTTTACCCGAGCCATATCTTAGAGTCTGGCTTACTAAGCTTTGGCTTCAGTCATATTTGCCTGCCGGCTAGGCCGACAAGCCCCCGCCGAAGATGGCCAGATACAGGCCGGGCCACTGGCAGTCGGAAGGCTGAGGCGTTGTACTGGGAGAACCCAACTCAAGAGGGGTCTTTTGTATCCCAGAAAGCTTCAACTATGCACCTTTTCCGGCCACCAGCTCGACAGGTTCTTTGGCGATTCTTCAAGGGGACATAGATAGGATCAGATGCGTGCATTCGTATGTGTAAAACAAATGGAGGCCTGAGCCAAGCGCAACGAGAACCCTCTAATCCCCAAACACCAAGGCGTGATGGGAAGCTGCTCATTCCGGACATGCGCGGGAGCCCAGCTGGGCCAATAGACTCCGCGGACCTGATGGCACCGAAAACCCAGGACGGTGCTTTTCTGGGGGCCTCAATTTGGCGAATGTTTAATTACAATGCACAAGCTCTGGTGGTGAATGTTTGCTCTGGTGTGTGAACAAACTCCCAGGTTTATCGAAGGGTTTTGCCTTTCGAGCTTGGCTAGGGGAGTAGGACAAATGGTAAAGGGGTGCCCCCAGGCCATTCCCTATGACTAGTGAGCTGTCCATTCTGGCTGGGACATCCAAATGGCACTTGCAGGAGTTCAAGATTTGGGTCCGCAAGCGTCGATGCCAGCAGCCACACGGTCACTCTCAAGACTTTCAGAAACCGGATCTTGCATGGGAGTCTGGGCTCCTGGGCGACAGCCGCTGTGATTTGTAAATTGAGGAGAACACGCCACACTGTACCGAGCTCGCACAATATCCAACGCTTTATTGCTTTTTGCCGAGGTTTCTGAAGAGTTGAGGAACGCGTATGAGTTGCCTCGAACTCTTTTCATGTGTTTGGTGCTCAGGTTAAATGAGTTGGAAACAGAAGTTCTGTGTTATCAACCTCACTGACCACAGCGAGGGCCATGGATTTGAGCCACCCAACAGGACCAGCAGATGGTTGGTTTGCGCGGGTGGTGAAATATACATCCTGACGCCATGATTCACCAAATCATTCTCAACTCCACATCGCTTGGAGGATCTCACAGTCAGTGGATCGATATCGATCAGTTGTACAGAAAAATCCATCTGCGGCATAAGAGTTGCACTGACATTGGTGATGAGGCAAAAAGTCGTGGGTGCTTCTAACATTGCTGAGCTGGTTTTTGCTTGCACGAACGTGACGCAGTCGGAACCTGCAGGATGTCCACCCTCCGGATTTCCAGAAGCATCTGCGAAGGAGCTTTGGGGTTGTGTTCCGTCCACATGGTATGGTCGTTGCCAACACCCTTTGCCTCTCTCTGAAGTTTCCTCTTGTTGTGTCGTTTGCACCAGACTCCGCTAAGCTCGGGGGGTCGGATAATACTAACCCAACGCGTGGGTTAAGCATAGAGGTGGTTGTCTGCCCCAAAAGGGCACACGGGTTGAAGTCATTGGAGTCCTGCATGGGTTTGAACCCGGGTTAGGACCCTCCAAATAGGTGGCTTCAAATGGGAACTCTTCGTGGAAAATGAAGGCGCCCGCTCGGTACTGTAGAAAGCCTCAAGGGGGATGTCTGAAGTCTTCAACGGAAAGGGAGTCACAAGGCAAACCGAGTTTGAGCATCTGCGATGTACTTGATGAACATAGACGTTAAATCAGAATCTGGTTTTGTCAATCCACCTTCAGATTTTGACACGTACCCATTTCGGGACGCGGGTCTGTCTCGAAATGAAGGGACCCCAAAATGGTGGGCTTTCGACAAATAGTTTCCCTTCAAAACAAGCAAACATGGGTGCCTGAACAAAACGCAGCCAACAACCACACACGCACTAGGTTCCGCTCCAAGATCGGCCACGACTTTGCTCCTGAAGCCATGGACGATCGGAGCAGCCTGGTCCCCAGCCGCAGCTTAGAGGTGCGGTGCAGAGAGGAAGACGTGAGGTTTGTTGTCAATATGCCATGATTTTGAAGACCTCGAAAATGGCTGCTGGCCCTAAATCAACATCTAATGGATTTCACCAAAGGCTCCCTAATGAAAGCTTCCAGGTGGTTTAAACAACATGTGGTTCTAAACAGACAATTTTAAGTTTCCTTTGGGGGGTAAGGTTTAAACGCTTGCAAAAAGGGACACCCAGACTCCAATGGTAATGGTTGGGTTATGTGCAACTCCAGTACAAGCACTTTGGAGTTCAAGACACGGGGGCCTCACTCATTTTCCCATGCCCAAAAGAGGAACGGCATAATCATTCTGACCGCCCACATAGGTGCTTCCTGGAAATGGCCTGCCTCACTTTCCTTTTGTCACCAGCCCAACCGGGTCCCAATGCAATTTACCGATCCAAGATAAAACATCGCATGAAGCACCTATCCAATAAGGACACCAGTTTGTGGATATTGTGGCGCTGGGATGGCACACATGTGGTTGCTTTTGTTTTGGGCCTGGTTTGACTTCCTACACGTTGCTCCGTGTTTGTCCAAAATCATGAGTGGTGTCCTTTTGGTCTTCCTTAACATAGCCCCAAAAGGGCACGCAAAAAACAGAAACAAACACACACACACACAGGGGCTATCCCCTGTGTGCTGAAGATGCCAGCACTCCCGGCGGAGCGCGATTTGCAACATGCTCTGGGAAGGTTTACGATGCAGATGTGGCCAATGGGCTGAATTCACCGCAGAGTTGAGGTACGCCTGGCAAAGGTGGGGGGTCACTTTGATTGCACTGGTAATTAAACTACATCTTGGGTTCAGTCAATTTGCCCTGCAACGCCCATGTGTGCCGTGGTTGAAGTATCAGCCTTCTTTTATCAAGGGATGGTCATCAAGCCCTTGCTGGGGATGTAGACTGTCATGGTGTCATCGGCATGTTCAGTGCAGGACATATCGTCCAAAATTGGGTACGCCCCGCTGCATGGTTTCAAGAAGAAGCTTAAGCAAACCAGCCATGTGGCACGGCCACATATAGGGCTTGCCTCAAACTGGCGGACCCTCCAAGGTGGTTTCCCGCAACCGAATGGAGCTTTTTCTCCAAAATAGGTGGTGGTTTCCCTCAGCAGCTTCCCCAACAGTAGGCAACCTTAAAGGAGGCCAACTCCAAGAGAGCCACCCAGCACGCTGAGGCAACATTCGGGTTGGCTGGCCTCGGAAGGCAGAGGCGCCGGGAATATTTGGCCGGGACAGTGGGATCCCGGCAGACGGCCCCGGGTGTTTGTGCCTTGTAGGTCTTGGTTTTTTTTGCATTTGTTGTGACACGTTTTGCGCTTTCTTTTGTCGTGTCTTGTTTTTTTTGTTTTCAATTTTCACCTTTTGGCCCGCTATTCATTGATTTTCCTCTTGGGAAGCGTCATGTTAGGGGGAACGATAGGAGCGACAGATGGCGCGACAAGTTGGGATCGGAGTCTGCTTTCCGCTTGAGAACTGACCTGGCACCAAGCGTTCGGATGATTGTCCCCTGTTGACGGGCCCTTTGATGTGATCAGATTAAAGCCATGGCGAATGAACGCTTAGCCCTGAGTCGAAACCGCACGGGCTTTGATACTCTCAAACATGATAGTTCCAAGGGCCTCCTGCACAGCTTTACATGCCCCTTGGACCTTGTCTCCATGTTGCTAAGAGAGCCTCCAAAAGTAGGAAGTGCTGAGGCGTTGATTGTGCTTTTGCCTCTTTTGCAGTTCGCAAAACGACCCTCTTTTACGGGTAAACCACTCTTGTGCAGTTCCCATAAGGGTAAATCACTCTTTTACGGCGGGTGCGAGTCTGCGAGCTGTGCGATTCTCGTGCAGGAATATCCGGAGGGCTTTGGCTGTGCTGCCCCTCCAGGCTGTTGCCGTGTTGCCCGGGTATCGACCCACTGGGCACGTGTCAAAATCGGGGATCTGAGGAAATCGCGGTACCTTGTGGTTTCTCTTGAAACCAAGCTGAAAAGGGCTGCAACACCCACACCCAAATGGGCTTTCCAGTTCAGTGGCAAGCTCACCTGGAGGGCAACGGGCTCACCATATGAAAATCCTTTACTTGGGGCATTCCATTTTTTTTCCGGCAATTATTGCGCATTGTGAGATAGGAATCGGAGCCAACTTGGTCGCCTAGTGCAACGATGCGTCGATGGGTTGATGGATTGATTTGTGCGGAGGTTGGGATGGTGGACTTTGATACCTCCGTTGCTTTGGCTCCTTGGTTGAACTCGCCATTGCACAAGGGTCCAACTGGTTTTGACATTCACCCCGAAGCGGGCTACCTCCCTCCCAGGTGCCTTGGGGGTCCGTTTCGGGGTGCAACCCCGCCTTTTGGAACTCGGTCGAAGCGCTTCACCTCTGCGAATCTTTGAAAGTTACCGGACAAAGGGCATCCGAATCCTCCATCTCTGGTCAATTCTCCCCCGGAAGGAGGGACTCCTCAATCCCAACAAGGCCTGAAAAGGTCTGCTGGGTGCCTTTAGAGGCAGTTTGTTGAGCGGAATCCACCATTGAGGGAGCCCTAGTGGCATGGAGCCCAAAAAAGGGGTTCGCCAAAGGAAGTTCCTCTACGAATGGTTTGAGGTGAGCATGCATTTGACTTCTTGTTTTTGCCTACAGCTACACTCCGTCGCCTTTCTTGGAGGTGAACTTGGCAGACCGGCATAGGAGGAGGTTGTCCCGACAACGGACACCGTTTGGACGAGGTTCAAGTTGCAAAACACAACACATGACCTGGGTGACTCGTGAAACCATCGTTCAGGCAAATATCCGACTCCGCCCCTGGATCCTAGGGGCCCAAGCCCTTCTGGCCGGCAACTCATTCATGAACTCAACGGAAATTAGACATAGAGGATATCTCTATGCAGTATTCTGACGTGACAGCGCATCACCGTTGTTCCGAGATGTTTTTGCCAAGTGTCAAGGTTCTACCACTCCACTCTTCAGGTGTTTACTTGTTACGTTTCCTTTGGTTGTCCTTTGGTCTCCTTTGGTTTCCATGGATTACATCTTGGACTGATCTTCAGCTTCGACGCCGGAAGCCAGGCTTCTGCCTGCCCGGCTGCGATTGCATGGCGCCTTTGATAGCACGAGCCGTTGGCGTCTCTCGAGCGGTTGGGGGAAGCGGGGGGATGGATAAAAGCCCCACACGGGGGTTGCTCAAAATGAGACTCGGGCCCCGCTTTTGGTTGGTGTCTGAAGGGAAAACAAAGGGAGAATACCCGGAGCCATTTTGGGGGACCTGTATGTTGAGAAACACTAATATGCGCCATGGTTGCGTTAAGACACTGTTTTTATGGGCTGGTAGGGACGACCATGGACCCTTGGCAGAGAATGCAAACAACTATGACAAGGGTTGCTGGAGAGCATGGCCCACGTGAGACCTTGTTTGACCCTGACAAATGACATCAGCAGGCGTGGGTTCCACATGTGTGGCCTGATGAGCACTGCCAGGTATGGATAACCAATCACTGCCGTTGCGTTGTTTGGGAGTGGGGAGTTGTGGACTTGTCACTTGGATGTCCGACCGACTGTGTTTTTAGGTTGTAACCGTGGTTACAACTTGGGTAACTGGGGTTGGTCCCCTTATAACCATGCATGGTTATTAACCATGCATTGGTTATAAGCTACTTCCTAAACTGGTTGAACATCAAAGCAGCAAAGGTGGGTGAGCACTCGCCTTGCTTGCCAACTGACGGGCATCTGTCTAATCACTTCCGATTCATCTAGGGGGGTGATTTCCAAGACACAAAAGCTTCCCTGCATGTAATCAGGCACACACACACACACATTGAACACATTGGCCGCAAGTGCGCTATCAAGCATATTAGAGATTGAGACAACCTGACATGGGACAATGCAATTAGCTAGCTTCATCCTTTTGTCAAATCAACGAAACCGCACTCCCAGAGAATCTTCAAGTGCTACACATCGGGAGTGCTTGGAGACCCTCGGATTCCGGGGTAGCATGGCTTCCGCTCGGCGGAAGCGCCGAACAAGCGCGACAAAGAACCGAACAGCCAAGTTATGCACCTGGAACCTGCCCAGACCTCCAGATAAAATTTTGTTGGGCGGGCTTCCCTTCCACATTCTTCTACATCCACCCTCCGGAGTGGGGAAATATGAGGAAGGAGCTAGCACCCAAGGTTTCAAAGTTCGCATTTTGGGACCCCTTCCATTTCTTTGCTGTTCGAGACCTCCAAGGCCATGGGATTTTTTGCCGGGGGACTTGTCTAATCGGGGGCGGGTCCTCGTTTCGGTGGGACTTTGACTATTCTGCTGCGAAAGGCAGCAAACCAGCCCGCCTTTCGCAACGGAAAGCGGCAAGCGGACGAGACGATCAATTCAAGCAGGAAGGCGTCCTTCATGGAAGCACAACTGGAGGGTCATCCTTCGCCGAATGTCTCGGTGTGAAAAGAACCATGACCCCTGGAAAAGGGGGGGGCTCAATTTCCCCTTTTGGTGGCTAAACCTCATTTTTGAGGGCTGTTTGGAGGCGAAATCGGGGTAGAATCTGTCAACATGCGGGTCACCTTGGTCCTTTGGTCCTTTTCCGGCTCCGGCGACGTTTTTCCATGGGCTCAGGATGATCAGAGGCCGCAGAAGCCCTGGGAGACTGTGAAGAACTGGCTGGAGGCGTCGCCGAGGGTTTTTGGGGGAGCTGCTTTTGGTGAAGGATGTGCCCATCTCAACACCACTCCCCGTTCGGCGGATTGATTCCTTCAAAGCAAAGTATTCCCGTGCTAAAATAAGGAAACTCCACTGACAAGTCGGAGGGGTGGTTGCTTCCATGTGGATTGACATGACCTGACATGGGAACCTTTCAAAGCACGCACACTGAAGAACCATCTTTTCTTGGGAACCCAGCCTTACAGTCTTTTTGGTTATGTATGGGTTCCCTAATGATGGAAGTAACCCACCAAGAAGTGTTGCCTTTTGCTACCGGACGGGCTGGCGAGGTGGACTTTCATGGGGGCCTTCTGGACTTGGGTTGAGATTCCTATCGGAGATGTTTAAAGGATGGATGTCAGGAACACTGACAAGCGCCTTCGCCGTTTTTTCAGGGTGGTCTGGACTGCCTTGGACCCGCTTGGGAAGACCATGACATGTCAGATCCATCAACCACTGGTGGCGGAGTCCAAATTCTCGCAGGGCGTTAGGCACTTCTGACCTTTGCATAGTGAATTTGAGGGCTTTTGCTTGGGGGTGCACTTGGCTAGAAGCTAACCTCCAAATCGCCACATACAGCCGTTTCGATTCCGACTGGGTCCCTCCATAGCTTCCATAGAATCTGGTTTGTAGATGGCCGAGTGTGTTGTCGACAAAGGACTGATGGGCGCCTCGCATTGCGGGCAGGATGGCGAACCAGAGCAATTCCTTCAAAGCCTATTCCCCTGCTTAAAACAGGGAAGCGCCGCTGACGAGTCGGAGGGGTTGTTGCTTCCATGTGGATAATTAGACCTGACCTCTGCCATGGGAACCGCACACTGAACGTCTTTTCTTGGAGGAACCCTTCCTATTTGCTGGAGGTTCCCTTTCAGTGACCAAAAGTTGGGCCTCATCTTTACGGTAGTTGGTACCCTGTAAGTAATGACTCGGGCACCGACCTTGCCACCGAAGGCTCCGTGGGTTTCTCCCGTGGGCACTGGGCTTCTGGGGTCGTCACGCCATCGCGGAGGACCCTCAGCGGAGCTCGGAGGCGCAAGCGTCCATCGAGCACCTCTCCGCTGCTTGGCCCAGTGCGTGACGGGGCGCAAGCGCGACGGGGCACGCTTGTGGGCGGGTTCAGCGCCGGGTTGGGTTGCGCGTTGTTCAACGCCTTGGGGTTTATCCATGGATATGGGAGTGTTACTTTTTTTTGGGACCTTCTCCCCCAAAATGGAGGTTTTCCTTTTGGTTTCCCTTTAAACGCCACCAAGAAGGGGCACCCGAAAGAACAGAGAAAGACAGACCCATGTGCGTGCTTGTGGTTTCCTTGTGATGTTTACACGTTGGAATTTGCGGGGGTGTCTTTTTTGAGGATTTTGTTTAAAGAGTGGTTTATCGGGAAAGCACGTCGTGGGAAACCTCTGGTTGCCAGGGCCAAATGTGCCAGGTGGTTGGTCTCCTTGAAGTCGCTGCCATTTGCCAAGTTGGACCCCATTTGCCAACAAGTTTGTTCCCGTCTCTCGCCACTTTGGGCCAAGGATACGAGGATACGTTCGTGGCGCATCTGTACATCCCCCCAATCCGTTTGACCAGCCGAGATGTTCCCCAGGGTCTAGTTTGGGAGAACAGACCGTTTGCGAGATGACAAAGATGTCCAGAACATCTGAAACGGGGAAGGCCATGATCCGGTTCTTGTGGGATTTCAAGGGGTTCGTCGTTCTGCCAGTTTGGCTAGTGCGAGTTCACCCTGAAGCAATGCAACATGCATAACCCTGGGCAAATTGTCAGAACCTCACATATTTTGGTTTGCGACCTCACTCATGATGAATGTTCCTTTCAAAGGATTCGCTGGCTTCAAAGAATGCAACCACAAATCAAGTAACAACGAAGAAAGTGACGATGCGAGTTCACATGTAACTTCCTCGTACCTAGAACGTATATATATGTATATATATATATATATGGACCGACACATTCAGCTTATGACCATGCTGATTTTTTTTCGCATGGCATCTGACGGTCTAGGTGAAGTGAACTTGAGTTTGGGAAGATAGGAACAGACTTGCAGGTTCGCAGGGCTGTGAGGCTGGGGCTTATTCTGGGTGAACAGTGATTCACTGACCAAAACGGGGGTATGACTCAACTGCACCGTTTCTCAAGGCCCAGCAGCGCTTCGTGCGGCGTCGCGGGCAGGCCTGGAGACCGGGTGAGAGTCTCGTTTGGTCGGCACAAGGGGTGGACATTTATTTTGGGGTCTCAAAAAAACCCGGGACCCCCCGCTTGCGCCACGAAATCGCATCATTCCATTCCCGTTGCGAGCATGCAACGACGCGTGCCGTGCTGCATGTATCTCACTCGCACTTTGCTTGTTTCCACCCAAGGATGCGCTCGCAGTTCTAGCTCTGTGGGTCACGGTGTTAGGCGGCTGGGCGCTTGTAAAAAGGCAAGCCGGGTTTCAAGGCGGGCGCGTAGCAGTTAGCGAAGCTGCGGGGCATGCCTCCGAAAAAAAGCTTGGTCAACAAGCGCCCACGCAGCGCAACCACACTGCTAGGAACGGCCCTCACGACTGTGTCGCCTGCCCAACAACATGTACATGTTAGGGAGTTCAGGACTTGCGTCGTGGGCCGAAAGCCTCAAATCCGCCGCGTGCGCAGGTTAGCAAGCAGTGCATTTTCGAGACGACGCTTACTCTCACCTATGTCCACACCTTGGTCTTCAGGGAGGGGGCGTTCTGTCGCAGGGTTTGCTGCGCTCCCTTCGCAAAGATTCGTTGCCATTGTTGGTAGTTCTGCGCGTCAGCCAGGCACAAAAGGCTGCCCGACTTAGCGGCAATTTGCAGAGGTACGCCTGAGGTGTTCATAAGATTGCCATGTGCAAGACGGTCCGGACATCCGCGCGGAGTAAACAGACTACTCAATTTTGTGTGTTGGGTTATATTAGGAATGGTTGGAGATATGTAGAGACTCGCTTGTCCACGAACATCCTGTTGTAACAAAAGCCAACACAAAATACACTATTCCGTGTGTGCATGTGTGTCTGCGCGTCCGTGCGTGCGTGCGTGCGTCCGTCCGTGCGTCCGTCCGTGTGTGCGTCCGTGCGTCCCTGCGTGCCTGCGTGCCTGCCTGCCTGCCTGCGTGCCTAAGTGCGTGCCTGCGTGCGGCGTGCGCTTTCGCCTGCGCGCGCGCGGGCGCGGGCGCGGGCGCGGGCGCGGGCGCGGGCGCGGGCGTGCGTGCGGGTGCGTGTGCGTGTGCGCGTGCGCGTGCGCGTGCGTGTGCGTGTGCGCGTGTGTGTGTGTGTGTGTGTGTGTGTGTGTGTGTGTGGGGGTGCGTGTGTGTGTGTGTGTGTGTGTGTGTGTGTGTGTGTGTGTGTGGGGGTGGGTGGGCGTGCGCGTGCGCGTGCGCGTGCGTGTGCGTGCGCGTGGGCGTGGGTGTGTGCGTGTGCGTGCGTATGCGCGTGTGCGTGTGCGTGCGTGCGTGCGTGTGTGTGTGTGTGTGTGTGTGTGTGTGTGTGTGTGTGTGTGTGTGTGTGTGTGTGTGTGTGTGTGTGTGTGTGTGTGTGTGTGTGTGTGTGTGTGTGTGTGTGTGTGTGTGTGTGTGTGTGTGTGTGTGTGTGTGTGTGTGTGTGTGTGTGTTTGTGTGTGTGTGGGTGTGTGGGTGTGCGTGCGCGTGTGCGTGCGCGTGCGCGTGCGCGTGCGCGTGCGCGAGTGTGTGTGTGTGTGTGTGTGTGTGTGTGTGTGTGTGTGCGTGCGCGAGTGTGTGTGTGTGTGTGCGTGTGTGGTTGTATCGCTAGCGTTGCATGATAGGCCACTGACGGTTATCGATTGGAATACTTATCGGCGCGTTTCATCCCTCTGAACATTGAGGTGTTCATGTTGGTTAATTTTTGGATATGACTTATTGATTCACAAGGCGAAGCTTCTGCATTTACTTCATGTCCTGCAAGGGCTGGCGACATGTTAGATACCCACTCAAAGCTTCATCGCGTAGCCGTGGCTGTAGTTCTGTGAGCTGGGCGTATTCCCTTTGAAAAACAAATTTAAGTATGCTGGGTTGCTGCAACACACAAAACAGCAATTTGAACAATCGAAATGACTTCGGTCGTCACCGTGTTGACTTTCTACCGTTTGTTTTTGAGGGAGCTGCTGTTCTACGTGAACTCAGACTCTGGCGCCATTGGTTTGACCGTCAGGTTTTGCACAAATACACACACACACATACGTGCCTTGGATGCGGGATTGGCATCCAGGCCTGTGAAATGTGTAAAGGAGCGGGCAAGCACGCAAGCGGCCCCTACAAAGCGAAGGATAACACTGATCGGAGTTTATCGAGTAGATAAAAGCGAGCTTTGTCTCAACCGCAACAAAGCCCGAACGTGAACTAGTTGGCAACACAATGACCATAACTGAACGCCGGCGAATAGCTCTGATAGCTCGGTACGTAAGCGTTTGTGCCTGCCTTCATTGAAGAAATGGTAAACGGACTCATGACATACGACAAAGTGCAAGCAATGACCATCCTGGGTTGGCTGAGGATCACACGCAGACTCGCGCGGCCTATGCTTTGGCACAAGAGGTGGAGCTGCAAATCAAGACAGCGCTCAAGGACAGATTGCAACGGGTGGCGATTGATCGCGGTTGAATCGCAACATCCACTTGAGTCGCCACTGGCCATGCGGTTGAGACTGATGTTAGCCGCTGGCTTCTTGAATCGTTGGTATGTCAGGCTCTCGTGAATATGAATTTGCGCTTTTGCCCAAAATTGAAGGTGGACCTCAAGAATGCAGTGAATTCTATTTGCAGCTGTTTTCGCCATGTGTTTAAGCCAGTTACCTAGAGAAGACTGATTTGCAGGAAAAGAGCCAGGAAACAGCAAAGACAAACACATATTCCTCACCAGGAATGACGCCTGCCTTGTCTGCGGCGAAAGGGCAGAATTTGGCGGTGCCATGGACGGCCCCCAACGCCCAGACCTCCAGTGTTGATTTCCCTAAAAGGAGAACCCTAGATTTGAGTCTGCCTTCGAACACCTTGCATTGCGATGCCCGGGCAATCTTGCTGGAGGACACTGGCAAGCTTCCCCGATTTCCTCTCAAAACTCGGTGGATGGGGAGGGGGACTGCAACCATTCAATAATTCACAAGTGAGGGTATGGTGTAATGTTCATTGTAGCGCCTGCTTGACCTTCGAAGGACGTGCCCTTGTCCGCGCTGATGGATGCGACAGACCAGGCATTCCGATTTCGAGAAGCTTTGGGGGAAGCCAGTCATTTGTTGCTCGGGGACTTGGAAGCCATGGGTTACCCCAGTAAACGTTACTACAGTTTTGAGCTACATGCAATGTTGTTTCAAGCAAGCAAAAGACTCAACGAGCCATTTTTCACACGTTCAGTCTGCATGGTTGAGACTTGCTTGATCAGGAGGTGTGGCCGAATCCAGTCCGGATTGTTCTTGAGGCCAGGATTGTTTCAAACATTGGGTGAATTGGACTGATGGGCTTCGCTTTAGCTCAAGCCACTGATCGGTACAAGAGGATCAACAGCATTCCCTCCCAAAAACAACGAACACCACTGGACATTGCCCACAAGGCCCCGCAAGGCCTTACGCTGATGGCGTCTCGTAAGCAGCCCAGCTGCTCGGTGTCACCCTTGTGCTGTTTTGGTTTAGTGCTTAAGATTGTAAACCGCAAGGGTACCCTTTTCCAGGGTCACTGAGGCAACTGGACACATTCAAGGGCCTGAGGTCTATGGAGCCTAGCCCCCCAAGGAAAGACTGGGGCTGCCGCGAGGTGCGCATCCCTGCGGTGGCCTACCTGAAGAGCGGGGAGGACTACGCGCCGGCGGCCGCAGAAACTCCCCCAACCCCGGATAGCGCTTGGGGCTTTGGGGTGATGGCACGTGGGCAGCAGAGGGAAAAACCTGATGCGCATCTTTGGGCTTCGCTTTCAAGGCCGCCAGGCCTGGTAGCTTGAACAAAACTTGCCCGGCCCTTGAGAGTGTGGCCAGACTTCCTGGTTCGAAGCAGGAGGAATCCTGCAACTAAGTGTACATCGGGGGTCCTCATCCTTGACATGTCCATAAGGGATCCTTGTAATCCGTCCAGGTACGTTGAGGAACGCCCAAGCGGAGGCTTTAGGTAGATGTTCCCACTCCTAAGAGGCGCTTAAGGGAATATCACTGGCCCATTTCTTTTGATTTGGCAACAGGCTGGTATTGGTGGGCCGTGCTTGGTCACCATGCGCCTAAAATATGTATCACTCTATTTGTGATGTGTGAGTATGGGTTCGAAAGCCCGAGTGAGGAGCTGTCTTCCCCATAGCCCAGGCTTCCAACTCGACCACTCGCTCGTCCAAATCCGACAATTTACCTTTTGTTCTGCCCCTTGTGGTCCATGCTTAATGTTTTGTCCCCTTTGCTTCTTCCCTTCTTCCCTTTTTGGTTTAATTTTTTCCCCTTTCCCCCCCTTTGTGTTTTTGCCCTTCTGGTCCCAAAGGTTCGCCTCGTACGCCTAGGCCGGTCCGCTTCGAGCTGTCCCCAACCTCCACCGCACGCATCGCCGGCAGAAGTTCTGGCCGTGAACGATCTCATCGGCCTCATTTTTGACGCCTTTGTTGTTGGGGGTGTTGAAAGGGAAACCAAAACTTGGCTCCCAGCCATCCCCTTAGCTTTTTGGCCTTTTAGTGTTTTTAGTGGTAGTTTCCATTTAACCCACTAAGAGTTAAACTTTTAGCGGGGGATCTGAGGGCAGCCCAGAAAAGAACAAGCACAAATTTGGGGGTGTCTGGTCTTGCGACCTCAACGCCTTTGACCTGTTGGAAACAGATCTGGCTATTCCATTGAACCTCAAAAAGGTGTGTTGTTTTTTGATGGTTAGAGCACGCTCAAACCTCAAACATGGCTTCATAACATCCCCGCGTGAATGATGTTCACAAAAGGGTCCCCAGTAAGAATCATACTCAAGTGCAGTGAATTGACTGAGTGTGGACCACAATCAATCGTATGCTTATTGGTGGGCAAAAGCTGAGGTAGTGGAAAGGGCTGTGGCTGCGAGCTTTTTTTCGGGCCCCAAGTTGGGCAAAATTAGGAGGCATGAGGCAACCCCCTTTTTCTTTTGGAGTTAGTTCTCTTTCAGAGAATGGTGTTTTTTTTTTTTTTGTGTGTGTGTGTGTGTGTGCATGTTTTTGGAAGAGATCGGTTTTGTTTTATGGGGCTTGAACGGGCAGCAACGGACACTGCTTGGTTCTCAGATGCGCACTGTCGAAGTTGACAACAAACGCAGCTTCCTCTAATGTTTCCCTGTATAGTTGGTACGCAAGGGTGGTAATTGTCACGGAACACTTTACGCACTAGAAGGAAAATGGTTGCTGTAGTGGTTTCTGGTAGTGGGGGAGCGCTAGACACGAAGTAAGCTTGCATTTCTTTCAGAAATATCGCTTCGGGGTCCAGGACTTTTTTCGCCCTGGGACCTCTTTTCACATCATTTTACATGTTGTGTTCAGGAAATATTTACCAGAATCTAAAATATTCATTTTGCCTTGAAGGCAAAAGCTGAGGTGGAGAAGGAGCTTCTGCATCCAGAAATTAGATCCCTTAGGACATCTTAGGGCACCGGCGCCTTATATCACAGCTTGGCGCGCTGTTGCGGACGGGTACTTCACGCTGATTTCTCGTGGGGAGCTAAGGGACCAGGTGCATTTCGAAAATTGGATCAGATGAATAGCTCGACACATGGGAGGAGGGCCTGAAGCGTGAAGAATCGGGGGACACGGCGAAATGCTTTGCGCCATGTTTGTTTGCGTCGCGCGCTCGTTCAGGACTTTGGCTCGGTGCCTTGAGTTGCTGATCCCTGCCAAACTGATTGGCTGGGTTGGAGAAGGATGTGAGGTGTGTTAGACACCCCGTGGCGTAGGCATTTATACAGCGGCCTCTTGTGACCTTGCTTGGATAACTTTGCATAGGGTAACAGACCTGGGAGTTCTGAAGGATAGACCTGACCCCTGTCCGGGAAGGGTCAGAACCCTCGCACATTTCCTGCCAAACAGGGAGAGTCTCGGCGACTCGGCCCCGTTGAGATCTCGAATCTAAAGTCGCCAGGTGCTTGGGCGACCATCGGCCCGAGCCTCTCGAGATTTGAATGGGTCGGCGAGCCATGGGGTGAGATTCGGGTGTGGGTCGAAATTAAAGCAACAGGGGACCGCTGATTTTGGTCCATGTTTCCACTTACCAGACCAGGGTTCCATTTTGTGTACCTATTTGTGACCCACAGCCATTTCAAGGGACACATAATTCTGGTCAACCCGGCCTTTTGGCAATATTTGTTGCGGGTTTCAATCTAGCATCTCCGGCAAATTCAAGGCGAGGTTTAGTCAGGAGAAGGTCTAAAAAACCCTTAAACCGACAATATGTTCCTGCTTTCAACGTTGGAACCAGGCTGGGTACCAAAGGTGTGCTCCCTTTGGATTCCCCCCCCCCCCCGCCTCCGCTTCTCTCAGGTCCCGAGGATGGCTTGCTGAAATGCCACGTGGCCCCAGCCACCAGGCACGGAGTTTTTTTTGGTGGGAGGTTTGAATGGAAAGCAATGGGAGCCCGAAGATAGTGCGCTTACATTTGCGCCTTTTGGAGGGGCCAAAAGAGGGCGCCCAAGTTTGAAGTTCTCGGTTTGAACATATTGCCCAAACATCTGTGCGGGTCCTTGTGGTTTTGACACATACCCCAAGTGCCACATGGATTCCAGTGAGCCTTGGGACGCTTTCGACCCTCCCCTTTAATTGGGAAGACGGGAAGACCCATGCTTTGAGCTGCATTGAACGGGGCTACAACAAGCACGGCCCCCATGATTGACGAAGGATCCATTCAGGGCAACGCTTAACAACACTGAGGGAATCGCGCGGGGGGGCGAGGGGGGGGGGCGGGCGTGTCCAAGATTGGTCGGATCCCAAACCCACACGGGCCCCACGTTTTTGGCGGCCGCTAGCCTCGTAACTCATCGAGGATTGCCCCGGAGCGTGCCCAGTAGCTCGGAGTGCCGCTGGACTGCTGCGAGACTACGACACCCGCCGGATGGAGAGCTCCCGCACACTTCCAGCCCGCGCTTCCGAGATGTGGTGCGGGCCTTCCCGGAGCCTCGCAGCTCATGGAATTGCAGGAATTGCGGGTGCTTGCGAGAGGCGGAGGGCTTTTAACGGAAAGCTTCACTCTTCGTTTTCCGGTCCCGGCATGTTCCCTAAGCAACATGACCCCACCGGTCGCAAAGGATTGCCTTTTTCTTTCTCTCCTTTTCTCCTTTCTTTCTCTCGCTCGCATGTTGCTTCTCGATCTCATACTTCGGCTGTGAATCTGACGGGTTGGACACCCTCAAACATGTTTGGTGGTTGCACACCTCTTGTGTGTTCAATGATGTCCCCAAACAGGGCTCCACTAAAGTTCAAGCAGAAGGAAGCCACCCATTTGGGGGCCCTACTTTGACAGACCGAGCCAAAACATCGACTCTAAATTCTCCATCGGTCGGTTTCCCGCACATGTGAAGGGGCAGCTTGGTTTAGAGATCCATTCACCCAGCGGGTCCCCGTGCAACTGTAGAGCATGTTTGGTTTGGGGTTTGGTTCTAGGGGGGTCGCCAATTGCAATTTCCATGTCCGCGAATAGCATGCCGCACACCCTCAACAAAACATACCCCGTATGCGGGCTGAACGGGAAAGGGGTCCTTTGTGAACATCGGCAAACACAAACATGGGACATCCGTAAAACCAACTATGTTTGGGGTCGCCCAAAATCTTAGATCTTTGTCTGAATTTAGAGGGGCACCCAAAACAAACCAACCAGTTTGGGGTTGCCACATCTCAGGAGACAAACCCAAAAGCGACAGGCCGGCGACGGTGCAAGTGGAACTGCACTACCCCGAGGCCGGTCTAGAAAGCGTCCGGAAGCGTGGATGGTTTCGAAGAGAATCGAAGAGAATGGTCAACCCCGAAACACTAGTGCCGTTTTTTGTTTTCCTTTCTTTTTTTTTCCGAAAGCAAAGACATTTCCAGGCAAACCGGCGTTTCAAGGTGATGTTTGAAAGCATGCACTACATAGGAACCCAGAAAGATCCACCCTCAGGGAACCGAACTGAAGGAAGGCCTTTGAAGGTTTGGGAGCCGGGAAGAAGTGGGGATGTACGCTGCGCAGTCACCATCCGGCTCGTGCTTCCTTGCCGACATGTTTTCAGCATACGCATGCCCTTGGCTTTTATGCGGGCCAGGAAGCAAATACCTTTTGTAACTGGTGGGGTTCCTTTCAGGCCATTTCTTTTGAAGTTCTCTTTGATTCCTCGGGGCTGCAAGTTCCCAACCTGCTTTCTGCCCATTCTTCGACGCGTGCTGAAAATCCGAAACGACAGGCGTGCAGTGCGGTGCTGAACTTGCTGGTGGGGACCCCCGTCGCTCGCGACGGCTCGAGGGACAGCTTGACATTTCCCAGGAATCGGTCCCCGGTTGCTTTCCGAACGTGGTTTCCCTTCAAACGCCAACGAAAAGAGGGTCCACCAGAGCACCCTCCAAAATACTTGGGAAAAATCTGTGTGATGTCCGCCAAACGGTCCCGAAACAAGAGTCATTCCCATATGCATACTAGTTCCAGGTTTGACTTAGACCTTTGACCCTTGGGGAGGCTGCTGGAACTGGTATTACAACACGGGAACACCCTCGGTACATCGTAACAGTTTGCAGAGCTCATTCCAATCTTGAAGTCCTACTGGACACAGACCGTGCAAGAGGCACATGTGCCATGGGTCCTGTTTCAACACATGAAATCAACCTCCTTTCCCTTGAACTTCAACCTGCAAACTGCAAATTCACCTCTGACACCCTTCAACACCTGCAACCATCCTCTCCGTTCCCCAGTTAGTGGACTTCAAAGTTGTTAGGAAGACTGTTTCAGGGTTAGCCTTTCCAGTCTTCTTTGTGCCAATCCACTCAGGAACTTAGTGTCTCCACATGTGTCATGTATATGTCCGTTCTGAATGTAGGCTTCGCTTTTCAAAGGCATACTGTAGTATTCATGGGACATAAGTGGTCCATTTGGTCCAACTTGGTGCCAAAACGCCTGCCAAATCACTTTGAATGTTTAGGCAGTTGGGAACAAAGCTCTACGAGTGCTGGGATAAGCCACCAATGCCAACGAGTGTCGGGCGTGGATTTTGTCCATCCACAGCAGGCATATGGGTGCCAGGTTTAAAGGTCAACCAAAAGCAAAACACTCATTCATCTGCAATAAATAAATCTTTTTTGGGGGTTATGCCAATCTGCTTCATCGAAGTTATATATATATATATACCTAGAAACTCCGTTGGCGGAAATTTCCGCCCGTTTCCTCAAAGGCAGACATTTCCGCCGTTGTTCGGGAAAAAAAAACACCGGGGATGGGGGAAAACGCCCGAGCCAAGGAAAAACGCCGTCGCCGCAACGCTACAGTTAGATGCCCACGATGCACTCAGCCCTCAATGGTTGCCAATGTTTTGGCAATTGTCCCAACTGACGCACGCTTCAAAGGACGACGCCACCAAACCATTTTCACCCAGCCCGTCTTGCCAGCAAAGGCTGTGAGAAGGTCTAGACTCGAACGATTGTTTCCCTTGCCCACCCAGCATGTCTCGGCGCATCTCGGGCGATGGCAGACACCCTGCAGATCCATGGGCAGGCTTGCAGTCAGCCACGCAACTAAAAGGATGGTCTCAAACGCTGATCAAAGGGGGATGGACGTCCACTGTTTTTCGACCTGGGGAATTCCGCCCGGGGAATTCCGCCCGTTTCCCGGGGAATTCCGCCCGTTTCCCGGGGAATTCCGCCCGCGCTCCGGCCCAGAAAGCTCCGAACATTGGACAATTGCCTGTGAATATTCTGTCGCACCTGCACTTTCCTGGATCTCCAAACTTCCCCCATCCATGTGGGCATCAAAGCAAGCCATGGGTTGATCAGAAAGAAAGAGATGGAAGTCCAACAAGCCATCAACGGCAGGGAACACCATTGAATCGCAGTTCAAAGCGAAAGCAGTGCTCAGAAGTCCAAGCGAGTAGGGCTAATAAGCGATGCTTAAGGTACCTCATCGCGAACAAGCAAAAAACGCCGGCGCCAAGTCAAAAACGCCGTCACGAGGAAAAAGGCGCCTTTTCCCAAAATGGGCGGAAATTTCTGCCGGAAGGATGTTCTAGGTATATACACACATACAATGTATAGATATATACATACGAACTGTTCTCCTATTTTGAGTCAAGCCCATGTTGAAGCTCCCCTCGTTTCCTATGAGGTCACCAGCTCGGAGCGACCTGCCTGGCGCACCGGGACTGCCCGAGCGCCCGGCGAATTGGATGGGCCCAGCCGCGGTGTCCGCCCGAAGTGGCTTCCTGGCGTGGTATTCCTGCGGTCATCGTTCTTGCTGGTGCGATGGGTACGGGAATGACCGAGACCAGGGGTTGGGAATGAATCGTTTAGGAATTTCCTAAGAAAGGAAGCCAAATCGGATGCATGGGTGAAAGTCGGAAACGGGAATCGGTGGTGCCCTTTTAGCCTACCACTTGGTGTGATTTTGATACGGGAAAATAGTGCGGCCAGTGTTACAAGGTGAAAAGTCCCCGTCTCAGCCTTGCGGATTTTGGACGGGCTTTCCCGCGGGAATCCATAGCTGCCTGATCTATGTACAGCTCGCATAGGTTTTCATTCAGGTTTTGGAGCCAGGCTTCTCAGAGCGAGATTGGCGGCTGCATCAAACGGCACGATGATCCAAGTGTGCTGAGTCATCCGCGATTTGTTGATGGGCGGAGACTGCTGGTGGCATGAGGGTGAATTTGGCCTGTCCAAGATAGATAGACAAATTGCCATGGTGCCCGGCTGAAGTTTTGGTGGGATAGAAGCCACCTCCGCAGAGTGGCACTTAGTGTTTCACGAACACACGATATTTCAAGAAATCCCTGGGGCTGCTTTTGGCATCTGCAACTCTTATGGCGAGCTCACCGATTCGGGGGAAAAACGAGCTCGCCATGATGTAGGTCCTCTACTTGGCGATTTCTTATTTCAGGTTTCAGACATTATTCTACATGTTCAGAGTCGTTGTTCATATTAAAGTAAACTAGATATGGACGAGGGCATGTTTAACGACATGTTCAGCTGGGCAAGAGATGAGTCAGCCTGAAGCCTCGATAGAAGCAGGGGTGTTACATCGAGGTGCTTGCAACTAGCACATGCAGGATCACCTTTGTTGAGTCAACAAAGCAATAGAAAAGGCGCACCCTGCCTGTCCCTCATCCTGTAAGCCTAGAACAAGTCCTTAGGCTGTTTCTGCTTACAATCCACGCCTCAAAATCTGCAATTTGTTTGTCAGTTGTCATCTGAGCAATCCACCCCTTCCCAAGACAACGAGATCAACGACCCCGTGCCAGAGGCCGGTGTGGTGGCCAAGTTCCAGGATGTGCAGACGTGCCGGGCCGCCAAGCGCCATGAGCCATGCCAAGCCGCAACTTGCGATCGGTGCAAAATCGGCCGGGAATGAGAAAAGAATTGGTCCCCGTAAAAAGGAAGCCACCAGTTGGACGGTTTTTCTACTGGTCATTCCAGTTCTCATTCCCGACCGATTTCGCACCGATCGCAAGACAATCGACACCTGGATGGCCACCAGCCCCTTGCAGCCAATCCGAGGCCCGCTGGCGAGGAACGCGCGCATCGTGCTGCGGATCCGGCATGTGCTTTTTGGTTTACGAAAAAGCCTCCAAGGCTGTTCTGTTTTCCTCTGTTTAAAGAATTGAGTCAGTGAGTCTGCATGTTCCTTGTCAGAATTTCCTGAGGGGGCCCAAGGCGCTGTTCGAGCCGTTGCCATCGTACCCGAAGGGCGCACACTCGTACCGTGGTAAGTTGGCGCTATTCGTGTCAACGACAACTTTGACGACGTGCCGTTGGCTTTTGCCACATGTTTCTGCATTCTTCCAGTTTTGCAGCCCATGTCCAGGACCTAGGGTGTGCTCTTCGAACCCTCGCAAAACAACTCCTGCGAATGAACCAAGCCTGGAAGGCTCACACTGCAGTCGGTGTCCAGCAAGATTGCTTTGCGTTTATGTATAGATGGTACCGTGTCCCGTCCCAATATCTACATATATATATATATATATGGTCACCCCCTCATATGAGCTACATTTGGATATATATATATATACATACATATGTGTATACATATATATATATATATATATGTTCCAGGCCGTGGACCCCCCCCCCCTCCCCCCCCCAACCCCCCCCCCCTGTGGGGGTGGGGTGGGTGGGTGGTGGGGTGGTGGTGGGGTTGTGGGGTGGTGGTTGGGTGGTTGGGTGGTTGGGCCAACCCCCCCCCCCCTGTGGGGGGTGGGGTGGGTGGTGGGGTGGTGGGGTGGTGGGGTGGTGGGGTGGTGGGGTGGTGGGGTGGTGGTTGGGTGGTTGGGTGGTTGGGTGGTTGGGTGGTGGTTGGGTGGTTGGGTGGTTGGGTGTGGTTCGGAGTTGGTTTAGGCTTGGTGGGTTGGTTTAGGGTTGGTTCAGGGTTGGTTCAGGGTTGGTTTGCGGTGGGTTTCGGGTGGGTTTGGGTTTTGGGTTGATTTAGGCTTAGGGTTGGGGTTAAGGAGGGGTTGCAGGGTGGTTTGGTTTAGGGTAGGATGTTGCGAGAGGTGCGGGGGTGTTGGTTCACGGGGTGAAAGGGGGTCTGGGACCGAAGCTGCAGGGCTCGCACGGTACTGGACAGCATCCCCAGCATTGCCAGCATCATCCCCAAGATGCGGATGATGCGGGGGAATGGGGGGACCATACCATTGGGGGGGGGGGGGGGTACGTGGCCCAGGGACTGGTACATATATATATATATATATGTACATATATATAGATATACATATATATATATATATATATGTGCACATGGCCCTCCGTCCAGTCCAAGGGAGGTGACCGGAACCTTGCGCATCGGCGAATCGACTTCTTGGGACGCGAGGAACGGGAAAGGCGAAGACTTGTGCCAGGCAAGAGCACCTCAGCAAGGTCTACAACTTTGATTTGCGAGCGCCAAAGGAGCGGCCGGACCATCGATCCATCGATGGCTGGTGGGAATGTTCTTCCCAAGCTTTCCCGAACCTCCAAGGACCATCCTGGGGTGCTGGGTGTTGGTGGTCCAAGAATGGAGTCTCCCCCAGGTTTCCCGACCAAAAAGTCTCCAGCCTTACACCAATTGCCTGGCAACCAGGGCTTGTCTCGTTGAGTGGGCCGCGGAAAGGAACAGGGATGGAGAAGTTGTGTTGGCTTGGCTTAGTGCGCAGTGATGTAGTCAGGTGGATCGGATCTTGGGTTTTTCAGAGGAAAGTTGACTCAGACGGGTCAGCGGTTCGGGTTATATTTAGGTGCGTCTGTTTTTTTGTTTTTAAGGATACCCCTTTTTTGTGGTGTTTAGAGGGACCGCAAAACACCATTTTGTCGTGGTCATCCCTCGCAAGTGATGCTTCGGGTTCCTCTTTGGCTACTGTGAAATAAACAACAGATCCTAGCTGATTTGTGTTTGTTTGTGTTTGTTTTCTTCAGGGTGCCTTGTCCGGAGCCATCCCAAGCAGTTTTTTGTTTTTTCCTATTTTTTTGGCGCACCCCCGGTTTGGGGGCTCCACCACTAGGAGGTCCTCTTCGGTCAGTGGCTGGGCTGCATGGAACTTCTGCTGCGGATGCTGAGGCGCGACCCGGGCCCGTTCGTTCACGGCGGAATGCCAGGTCCTTTGTTGGACCTCATTGGAAAAATGTTTGCCCCCTCTGTCCTTGTTCCTGCTGGCTGTTTCAGGTCCGCACGCCCAGCCGTCCAGTTTATATAGTGTTGGCCCAGGAGCCTGGCCATGGCCAACGTGGTGAAGCCCGAGGCGGCTGGATTTCTCGGGTGCGGGCTGTGACTCGGTCGCCGTAAGGGGCAACCTGACGAATCAAAGGGCACCAAACCGTTGCGAGAGAACATCCTCAAGGCCTGACACGGAGAATATGTCGAGATTTGAAGGCTTGTTTTGGTTTTTTTTGCGTGCATCCGGTGATTCCGAAGTTGCGCAAAATGCTTTCGAGGTGGAGTCAGGGTCTCTTTTAGACAATTGGAAGCGTGACGATCCCTTTCATCGAGTACAGGGATCTGTTGGTTCCCACGTATATGGTGTCCAAAAGCTCCGTGCTCAATCAAACATATGGGCTTCGTCTTCTTTTGAGGCTCAGTACCTTTTCCTTTTTGTGGAACTGATGCCATTCTGGGGGGTCTCCCCTTCAAAAAGCGACATGGCCATAACTCTGAGTGGTCACAGGCTGCCGCGCCAGGGCCTGTCTAAGCCGCCGCCACGTGCCGCGCTGGCGCGCTGACGCTTTGCACGGAGCCCGGGGCAAGTGTTGCAA